GGTCTCTCGCTGACATCTCGTGGTCTCTCGCGGGGATCTGAGAGGTCTCTCGCTGAACTCTTGTGGTATCTCGCGGAGTTCCGAGGGGTACATCACTGGGAGTTCGATGGTGGTTTATACGATAATAATTTATAACAAAATAATTTTTAAAGTTCCCGCCCATATCCTGGATTAATAGTGCCATCTATTTATAAATGGCTCAAACTTCTAGCCAAACAGTATCATACATTTTCAACTAGGTGACGCTAGCATATCTCGACAAAAAATTTGTTACTAAAAATTGTTTAACTATACATTTTAAATTCTTTTGTTCATTGTTTCTATTATTTTTATAAATATTCATTAAGAAACAAACCGTCATACAAGTTTCAACATTGTAATTTAATAAACATTATAAATAAATTATATATTGAATAAACGCGCCATAAATGCTGGATTGGTGCGCCACCTATTCGGAGAACGCTGAAACTTCTCGCCAAATGTTAACAGCGTGTCTCCGCCAGATGGCGTCACCGAGTTTTACTAAGTCGGTACTATTTGTCAAGAAATTTCAACGCTCCGGTCATAGATGGCGCCACAAATATATAGCTGAATACTGGTTGTGCCATCTGGCGAAGACAAGATAGTACTATTTGGCTAGAAGTTTCAGCGATTAGTGAATAGATGGCGCACATAGATACAACAAGGGTTTCTCACACCGAATACTTGGATATCTCGCGGCGGTTTAAAGGGTTTCTCACACCGATTCAGGGGGCTCTTGCAATAGTTTAAGGAATTGGAAGTGGAATTTTAATAAACACAAAATTTATGAAATATTTGACAATAAACAATTAATTCCATAAATAAAATGTTTAACTCTGTTGCAAATTGTGAAAAGAAACAATAAAATCGTCACCACAACGGTTATACAAGAAATTATTTTGACCAATTATACTGTTGTAAAAATTTATTCGATAAATTGTATACGCTAATGATTTTCATGTTAACAATTGAAATTTTGGCAAATAATATCGAAGTTCAATGTACATTTTTTTTTTAAATGTAACATTTCTAACAAAATTGTTAATCATTCAGGATTGAAACGTATAACACATTGTTAGGTATTATTTTCAGCTTCGGCATAATGGTTTTACATTTTTACAGAAAGATGCTAAAAGGAATACAAGTTAATAATAAAACTACCAGATTCCTGGTGTGTTCTTTCTGCAATTATTGAAAAGACGATATATATTTCTCTGAGAAATGATTGAAGAAAATTGATTTGATAGTTAAATCGAATGATAAATCAATGAAACAACTCTCTCCAGCATCCAGCAAAGACATACACAGTGTCTAAATACTACTTACCTGCCGATGATTGCATATTTTACATTTAAATGATAAATTTATCGCAGCCAATTAGCCTAACATAATCTTTCGTAGAAAATATTCTACTCGGGAGAATGTTAGTTGCCCGGGTCTCACCGCGTGGAGGTTGCTGCGAGTGGAGACCCTGGGAGGTGGGTGGAAATTCAATTCCACCGACCTCCCTTTCTAATTCTAGATCTTATCTCTAACGCGCTTATTTTTATCACACTTATATTTAACGCACTTATATTTAACGCACTTATATTTAACGCTCTTAATAATACTAATCCCTCGGCGGTCTTCTTTCTAAGGAAGAAGTTCTAAATCTAAATCTTATCTTTAACGCACTCATATCTATCGCATTTAATATTATAATAATCCCACGGTGGACGATCGACGTCTTCTTTCGTAGGCTTAATTTTAACTTAGCTTACCTTTAACGAATACCTTAAATTCTACAATGATCGCAGTAAGGGGAATGAATCAAGGAAGAAGTCCTCGATTCGAGCATGAGACGACACGAGACAATTAGGGGATGCAATATTAATTCTACCTTAGTTTAGCCTTACGAAACTACGCATTGGTCGCAGATATGTCGAGGAATTATCGAAGCGAGAAATAGAGGGGGCGAATCAAGGAAGAAGCCCTTGATTCGAAGACGAGAAATCAGAGAAGAAGTCCCTGATTGAAAATAGGCAAAATCAGGGTGACGCGAAACAAACCGCGAGCAGAGCAGGCAGAACTGCAGTGTCGAGGTCCGGTGCTTCCTCATCTACGGATCAGAGGATGATCTCCACCGG